ACTCCATTAATAACAAATACAGTCCCCTAAATGGCCCCATTGCCTTTCCTTTGCCAGGCTGCCCCTTTCTCCTCGTACTGTAGATATGCCAAAGTCTACCTAATTAGACCAGGAGTATCCTTTCCTGTGATATTGTGTTTGTGTTCACCTATAACAGGAAAGAGATAAGATTAATCCCTTCCAAACCTGCTTTGTCCAAGTGACTTCAGAAAAAAAATGAGAGTCCCCAGCTCCACACTCCGATATGTGTTGTAGCAGAAGGGAGTCTCTTCAGCAAGGGAGTCAAAAACGGAGCCTATCTCTTGGTGCTGCCGTGTTGGCAAAGATGCCCTCTGTACGTTCCTGCTAAGAGTAAGATGTCATCCAGGGCCTAGTGGCACCTCTGCACTGCACTGGGCTTAAATCAAAGTGACTCAGTCAGTGGCAGCTACGAGTTACAAATGCAATTGTAGCTGCCTAATCACTGTTTTCTCTACGGAAGTCCCTGTGTAGAAAGAATTAGCAGTTTGGCAAAGTTATCAGCATCAAGGGGTTTCTAAAGCAAGGGCTTAGTCATAAACAGTTTATGAATATCTCAGTTTCATTTCAGAGAGCAAAATATGATGGTTCTCTGTCCCTCTTAGGAGAATTCCCCATGCCTATCCACAAGTTTTTAATACCATAATGAGCAGGGCAAACAGGACATCTAACATGAGATCGTCACTGAGTATCAGAGTGATGTCATCCCCCTCATGGGAAGTCATTAGAAATACACATTCTTGCAGGTGCTATTTTGAAAGTATTGGTCTGGGTCCAACTCCTAGGTGTCCTTATGTGAGTGGTAAAGAGCTTTTAAAGTCTTTTATTAAACCTTATTGCTCAAAAGCTTGTGGAGTTCTGAGAGAGTCCTTTGCAGTTTTTGGAAAGGATGGATTTTTAATAAGAAAAATCATCCAGATAAGATACAGCATATGAAATGTGCTAATCATCTTCAAGCCAAGAGATGACATGAAAAGTGTCAGCATGATGGACGTGATGGCTAATCCAAGAAAAATGTTTCTATCATCAGCCATAATAAAGCAGAGATGCATAGAAATTCAAAGGTGAAAGTGTATCCCAGAAATCAAAAGATCAATACAAAAGTCTTATGCAGATTGAGATTCTTGGTAAACATCACACTAGAGAAATGAATTAGTATTAAGTCAGAAGTGACCTATCTCGTATTTTAAATAAAAAGTCTTTGACTTTCACTTGAGTCCAAACAGACCTTTCCTGAGAGCTTCCAATCTTGCTTTGAGTTTCCCTCATATTGCTAAATCATTTTTCCTTCTAACTGATTGCTTTCATTATGTGCCATATTTCTGATCTGAGTTTTTCTCCCACTTCTAGCCATTAGACACTTCGGATCTTTGTTTTCTGAGCCCCCCACCGTCAGAAAACCTCCTTCTCTACAGGAATTTAGAATTGCTTTGCGTCATCTCTTACCTTTCTTTTGCATAAATTCATTAGATCAGTCTTCTTTAATTTCTCACTGTATGGCAGATTTGCCAGTTCTTGGATCATTTTTGTTCTCAAAACATTCTGACGGTGCCTCCGCACCCTCTTTAAAATAACTTTGCCCTCGACGATAACACCATTTTCCTATTTCTGTTGCGTATTCCTCTGCTTTGCCCCCAGTCTACTTCATATTCAGTGGAACAGCCATGATGATTTCCAAGTCTCTCTTGGAGACACTATTTTCCAATTACGTAATTTCCAGTTCTGAAAAATGTAACTCAGAGGTTGGACTTTGCATCTAGCTGAAAACACACGTTTTCGATTTGGTGGAGCATGGCAAGGTACTGGTTTATTGGCTTAGGCTCTTATGTACCGCAGGAATAAAAAAGATGATCGGTACTGGTAACAGAGGAGTAACTGAAAACCCCATCGGTGTTTGTTTACTTACAGATACTTTATAGTCCATCACATCTACCCATTTGCCAGTCTGTAACCCCCTTGACTGTGAGCAATATCAGTGTTGGGTTAGCTTCAGGGAAGCCTCCACGTCAGCTCACCTGTGAGTGTCAGCACTTGCTGTCGCCATCGTCCAGTTTGCCTCTCTGGGTTCGAGTGCAGAAGGGAGGAGGATGCCACAACCTCAGTTTAGCCTACGCTTGCCAGATCAGCTGGTCTCACGTGCTTGACGGAAAGAATCACGCCTGCTCTGTGTTATTTCTGCACCATAGCAAGGAATTTACCAATAAAAAATTGTAACCTAAGGAATTTCTGCTCTTGGTGTTACACATGAAAAGCTCTTTTCCAGACAAAAGAGAGGCAAATATCTGGCATCAGATATGGTTGCTGAAGGACAGCCTGAAGGAAGTACACGTGCTTACTCTCTCATCTGGTCTCTAAGTTTGTAGCAAATGCAGGAATTGGGGCATAGCAGAGGTGCCTGGCACAATTTGGGTGCGGTATAAACAATGCTCTATTCATGATATTGGTGCTGCTGCTATTGTTGCTAAAATAACACGTGATTTATTTTCCCCCCATTGGTAGCCTTAAGTTTGTCATCAAAGCAAAATATTTTAGAATGCCATTTAAAACTCCCATTCAACTGCTGAGTGTTGAGCACATGTTAATACAGTTTTCTCCAGATATGGTAGTTTATGATAAGTGTTACCAGATTTTATACTGTTCGTGTAGTATGCTGCTAAGCACTAAGACGAATGGGCCCACTGAAAGGGTATTTCCTTTGGAGGACACAAGCTGCAGACCACACATGGAATATGCAGAAATAATTAAGTGTCAGGATAAAAAACTAGAGCAAAATGTTAGTGTCTCAGAATTCTAATGAATAAAAGACATTTTGAAAACAAAGAATACTCATATAGATGTTCGGCAAAATAACATGGAGGCTGCAACAGCATTTTGGGGGAAAGGAAAAAAGAATTCTCCATCATCTTATAATACTTTAACTATTTGTGTGTTGTCTATTTATTTTTGGCAAGCTGCAGAGAGGTGTGAGGAAGCGTGCAGATCTCTGAAGGCCTGATTCTTTATTCATGCCAGCCTCTTGCTAGAATAAAAAAGAAAATTATTTTGGGGGGAGTTACTCCACAGTTTCATTGCTGTAAAAAGGAACTCACTGGGCCTTGAGACTGAAATCATTGCTGGCAAAAATGACAGAGCCTGCTCTCCTGAGACAGAGGACTCTAGGACCTATTGGTATAATTTTCAGAGGAAGCATATAGAAAGTAGAAGGTAGGTATGGCAAGTCTTTGGCAAAACTTACAAACTTCAGAGGGAACAAAATTTCACCTATATCCTATCTAAATATTACGGAAAAAAATTTCCAAAGACACAGATATTACTTGAGCACCTAATTTCCCCAGACTCTCAAGAAGTATTTTCTGTAACATCTTCTGCTTTGCCTGGTTGTATGCTATACAGGTAAGTAGCAAAGGTTCAGGCTCAATTATCACAATCTGATAAGCAAAAAAAAAGGTTTACTGAACCTGAGAAGTAGAAAGAACTGAAACTTAGGAGATCGTAATTAGCAAACAATATGAGCATATGACTTAAAAGTTATTTTGTTTTACTGGAAAAATGTCACCTTTCTGTATAAAATCAGTTTTGAATTTTAGACTCGGTTTCCTGGTGGTCATTTAACCCATCGTCCCTCCCAGGTGCTGTGAGGGAGCATGACGGTCGGTGCGAGACAAGCGCTCCCCTCCCACGCAGGCACTGTGCTCCCATCCTGAGAGGAAACTAGGATCTTTCGAGTTTTGCTGCGGAGAGGAAGAAAAAAAACAGTGAAAGAGAGAAAATCTCCCAGACAGGCAGTCATTTGGCTGAAAAGGCCTAAGTTCAACCACCTCCTCTACCTCATTCAGTAATTGCAGAAAAATACAATAGTTGCAGCCTGTGAACCTGAGTGTGTAATAAGCCTCCTTTGGAGTATTACCTCCTCCTCAAGGCCAGATCTGAAAAATGGATTTGTAAGATGAGAGCACTGCTTCCGCACAAGCCATGTTGACTTCAGTTTTGAAGTGTTTAAAGGAACTCCTGTGCTACTTGAGCTTCGTGCTGCTCCTTTGTATCAGAGCAAGTTTCCCCTGCAGTATGGGATGCAAATATAATTTTACTTCAGTGCTACCAAAACCTCTTTTTTTCATACTGTCATTAAAATAATTTTTATTTTTAACATGAAGATAGCACAAAAGTCAAAGACATTGGGGGAATTATTACCCCCCCACTGTCATTTAGTCATGCAGTGTTTCTGATTTTCCCTGAAAATAGTCATTTCGTTCTGGCAGTCTAAAGGATGTGCCACAGAAAATAGCTAGGGTACAGCGCAATGTAATGTCTTTTTTCCTTAATATGAAAAAAGGCAAATGAAAATAAAAAGGCTGTTAGTTCTTTTCAGAATCCACTCCTTCTGAAATTTTTCCCTCATCTTTAAACTCTGTTTTCCAGATGACTTTAAGCAACTGTTAGTCTACAGCACATCGCAACTTAATATTAAGAGGGCATAATTCCAGACCGGTCCGATCACTCTGATTAGACAGAGACCCATGTCAAGAAAGTAGCCTTTGTATATAATAGAAATGATGATAATAGACTAAGTCTCATCAGTCAAAGGGCTTTATTACTGTCTACTGTAGAAGAACGGTTTTGCTGCTCCTGGATGATATATCCCTAGCTAGTCACAATATACCTCATTTCCTGCCTAGATAACAGAAGGCACTAAGATAAAGAGTGAAAGGAATAAGGGGCTATGTGATACAGATATATGGAAGAATAAAAAATGTTATAAAAGTAAAAACGAAGTTCTCTTTAAAAACTCTTGTTGGAACCAAGTTTCAAAACAAAAAATAAAGATCCCCAAGTTTGTGTGTGCTTACTTTGGATGGGACAGATTTACTAATTAATCCAGGACCAACTAGGACAGAAGAAAGGACTCTTTACAGACAGAAATACGCTAAGACACTCACTGCACCTGGCACAGCTTAAAACTAAATTGTATTTTCTTACTGTAGGTTCAGAAAACTGTCTTGAACAGAAGCTGAGAACACCTCGTCGTCGATGTCAGCAGCCCAAAATGCTGAATAGCCCTGAGGACAACATGTACTATAACCAGTTAAATGTGAGTTCAAAGTGGCAATAAAGCTGTTTTACTGGCTTTGTTTCCAGATAATAATTCTGTTATTAATACCTGTTTCAGCCCCTCCAGCCCCACCCCCACGTTCTTCTGCTCTTGTCTTGAACATGTGCTTATGCTCTTTATCTGTTGCTTTCATGTCAGGATGTCTGCCTTCACGGTGAATAATTGATGTGGTTTATCAAAGACGAGCAAGATGCATGCTTCATCAGGCTCACTTGAGCCCTTTGATCAAAAAAATTATGCTGTGACTTCTGATATTATCAGCATCTGCTTGCATTCAACACAAAATCACTTTGAATTAAAAATTAACGACTTGCTGCTTTGCTTTGACTGTGTGTTCTTGGCCCTCTCCACAGGGAACTCTAGAATATCAAGGGAGCAAGAGGAAGCCAAGAAAACTTGGGTAAATATCTATCTTCTTAGTTCTAAGCAACTGTAAACAGAAGAAGTCCTTTGTGATATTACAGAATATGCAAAACTTTCTAGAGAGGTTTCTAAAAATAAACAATTAACATATCTCTGTGCATTGACATTGGACATTGGACATTTTCTGCAGAAGCAAATATAAAACTTGTGTGTACTGCTGTCTGTAGACACTAGAACTGATTCTTACAGAATATGCTCCCAAGCTCTCTCAAAGTACTACTCCAAAAACAAATAGCCTTCTTTATGTTTCTGAATGTATTTAGCACTAGTGATAGGTGACACATGAAGGGTTTTGAAACTGAAGTACTCTGACCTAGAACGTGGACAGAAGCCCTGCAAGCTCTCCAGCGCTGCGCTGGCAGTGTGCTTCAGTCCTCCCCTGGGAGCACGTTCTAGGAGCTGACAGAGGGGCTGCTCTGCCCAAGTGGGAGCTGCTGCTTCTCGACCTGGCTGAGGCCAGCAGTCACTTCCCATTTTCACGTAAGCGGTTATCACTTGGAAATAGGTAGAAATCGCTGAATACAATTTACGAACGCTAAACCGGCTACTATACAGTCACCAAAATATTTCACTGATTGATGACCTGGGCCAGGTCTCAGAGAGAACTGATGGATGCTGGGTCTCACAAAAGCATCTATTCCAGTTATATACAAGAATTTTCTATATTACTTTATCTGTTTTTCGTTCATCCTCTGAAGATTGAAGTAGTGAATAGCAGGTCTTTGGGTCAAAGCTCAAGCCCAGAATTTTGCTTGGCTATACAAAATTTGATTTATTTGATTTTCCTCCCCTAATATACAAAAATTTGTATTTCATGTAGGGAACAAAAACACTAGCATGGGACTGCAGTGCTCATCATGCATCACAGAAAAATGAAGGTCCCTTGTTGTCTATAAGGCTTTACCCAAAAACTGATGGTGTGATCTTTGGCTCATGTTCACAGCAAACCATCTATCGAAATCATACCCTACTTACGGAACATGCACAGATAAAAAAGCTAAATTGCTCATATGAAATACCCATTTGATACAAATGGGTTTGGTCTCTCATTTGGTAGACCTAAAAAAGAAAGACCATATTTCCTTTCACAAATCCTCGGAACCATTCAGAGTATAGCAGTAAGAAAATAGAAGTAAAGAACATGTTTAAAAGCTACATCTTTCTGATCGCATCATCACATCTTTTTTTCCCCTTTCTTGTATTAGCACTTTTCATTCACAGAGAAGTTTCTATTTCTTAAGATGCTGACAGAATTCATTTTTAACTTAATAAATGTTCTTTGTTTTCTTTCAAGCCAAATCAAAGTGCTTGATGGAGAGGATGAGTACTACAAATCACTGTCAGCTGTGGAATCTATACCTGAAGATGACAGCTCCCTCAATTCCCCATCTCCTTCTCCTTCAAGAGGAGTGTCTTTTGCTCAGAGCTGAACTTCACTTATTCTGTTGTCTAATGCTGGTAAGAGTGTTTTCATGCTGATAATCTCTTCCAATTAACTTTGTGCGTGTGTGTGTTTACATAATGTATTAAAAAAATAATTCCAGCCAGTAACTTCCTTTCAGTAATTTAGGCCTGGTTTTGCAGATGTAAGTTGCCCCATTCAGCTGTATTTCTGTAAGCAATTCCAGTTGAAGTGGAGCAGCACTATATATATGTCTTGATACTGGTCACAGACATCTCTTCAGCAGCAAGGTTAGCTCATACAGTTCCGCTCCTTGTCCCTACTCCCCCCAGCTGCTGTTCCCACCCTGTGCCATCCCTTGTGGTGTGCTGGCGTAACTGTTTGTAGAGCTGTGTGGAAAATACGATGAAGGAACTGATCTGGATTAAAAGAACTCTGCACCAAAAAGTATCATATGGGGTCACAGTGAAAGTGTTTTATATTTCATTAGACTGATTTTACACATTCTCTGTTATAACTGTCTGTGTTTTGTATGGCTTTTAATTACTACAAAAATTTAGAGAGGAAAATAATCTCGAATGATGAAAGCGTGACTCAGAATTTACCTCATAAATATTTTTCGTATAAAATATTAGTTTACCATAAGTTTATCTCAAAAAATTACTCCAAATGTGAGAAGCAAAATAGTTTTAAAGATAACATTAGATGTTTTCACCGACCACTTCATGGAGCCCTTGTGACTAAGCCATCATTATGCTTGGATATTCTTGTTCTCCATGCAAGTATTTCATTTCTTCCTTAACCTGTATCTCTGCACTTCAGTGATTCCTGCATTTCCACAGCCCTCTTGTATGTAACAAGAAAAAATTTCACCTGCAAATTTTTCTATTCACTTTTGCTATTTTCCAAATCCGTAATGAAACAATATGTAACTTTCTGTGAAATTCTGAGATGCTTTGCTGGTAGCCTTTTCCATGGCAAAAACTGGATATTTCGTCATATTCTTTACTTTCTGGTTCTGAGCCACAATTTTTATGTGTGACAATTCTTTGTTTCTTTTCCATACAAGCTCTTGTTCAACAGTTTTGGAAATAATTTTCATATATGTGCCACCTTATCAATTATCTCAAAATGATTTTTTTGAAGGAACCATGCTGATTAAATTTGACTGTGTATAATATAGAGCTAAGTGCTATGCTTGTTTTTGTCTCTCCTCAGGCGGGTTTACCCAGATCTGTGCTAACAAACCTTCTTCCTTGTGGAGATGCAGTTCACACTTGTTCCTTGAGCTACAGCATTTCTTGCTATCAGAGTTCACTGGTAGTGTCTTTTTGATTACAGAACAAGGAAAAATGGCATGGGAGATGATAGGCAATTGTAGTCAGAGCATCTCTAAGTTAGAACAGAGTTTTGGAAGTAGAAGAGGGAAGGAAATGGATAGTCCAGCAAAAGCTGTCTTTCCCAATAAACACAGCAGTGAAGGCAGGCAGATGAGGACAAGAGGTGGATTCAGCTCTTCCAAAAAGAGCAATCCTTCACTCATTTTCCACCTAATATATGACAAGAGATGGAAACTAAACATTAAAATCCTGCAAGAGACAAAAGTCTTTCAGTCGTTCTCCACTGCTGCACATGTGAGCATGGGCTTTAGAGCCTTTACAATTTAAGGACTAAGGACACTTGGTGAGTAGCTGCAAATGAGGTAATGATATTAGAAAACACAGTACAAGTATGAGTGGTAACTGATGAGATGCATGCATGCAGATCAGTTTCTTTACATTTCATCAAAATGTAACAAGAATGAGTATTAATTACGCTACATCAATGAAACATAACGTACAACTTTTCTTTTTTTCTTGTAATCCATAAAGTCTCCTGGTCCGTTGATTTGCTATATATCTGAATGGAAAATACCGTTATCTTGAAAGGAGTCAGATGACTTTGTGTATTCTTTTACTGACATAGGTCACAAGGAACTCCAACAATGTGGATACTTTGTGGTTCCATTCCTCCTTTTCGAAAACTATTTGGGAAAATAAAGCTTTATTTTTAGTGTAATCAGTATTACATGCAGCTAGAGTTGATCAGTTTTGTCTGGTATATGGTAGTGAGGCTTCCAGTCGGTTATTATGTCACCTGTCCAAAAACCAAAAGCATCAAAATGTGGTTTGAGTACCTTACACTTAGTAATACATTACTCTGAGTAGTTTTATTAATTTGATGTAGAAGTAATGTGACGTGAAAAAACATGTATAATTCAGTGATGCACTTAGGCCAAAGCTTAAGTCTCGCCGAAATCAATGGAATTTCAGCACATGATGAAGTGCTTTGCTGAAGGGGGACCCGAGTAAACAAGAGCAGCTTCAGAACATGAAATAGGAAAGCACAAGGAAAATGCGAACACTCCTTAGGTATCTTTTTTTCTTCATCCCAATTGTTGAGTTTGTATTAATCTCAATTATCAGAAATGGACTTTAAAGAGATTTTGTGTCATATTTTGAGCATTCTTTAATTGTATGGAAAGGGTAAAACACAATGTTTTCCTTGTTACATGCAGCACTGCTATCTACATCTGGTAACATTTTTCAAATGAGTTTCATGTCACTAATTTTTTTATACTACAGTTACTGTCTAAAAACTGCTGTTGAGTTGTGCGTTCTCATTCTTGCTACTTCTTGGCTAAGAACTGCAGACAAAGCCAGTCTGTGCATTGTATTATTTCATAACCTATCCCCCCTTCCTCATTTGTTTTTTGACCTCATTCAGTTGACCCTCACCACATAACCCCTCTGAGGTGGCATGTTCTCATCCTCATTTTGGAGCATGTATATGCCTTTATTTCAGAGCAGTCTTATTATTAAATGCCATATCATCAGCTTGCTGCAGATTAGTGCAGCCGCGCTAAAAGTGGCTGAAGAGATGAACTTTTGTTGCCACGTTGGTAGATACATTTGTTTGGGTTGATTGATTTGTACATGGATAGGGTGATGGCTCAAATGTTTTGAAATTTGAAGTGCTTCTTCAAAAATTCTGACATGCGTTACTACTGTGGTGCTCAAGAGATGCTTCCTCTAAGAAGTGGCCTAATCAGAGTCAAATCCAGTGGGAATGGGAGTCACAGCGCACTTGAAGTGTGGAGATGTGGTATCCTGTGTATTGAGACGCCATCGTTTCCTGCTGGCTGCATCTCTGAGTTCTTCCCTTGCTTAGTGCTGCAAGAAAGGATGTCGCTGTCTTCTTGGCTGAACCTGCTCTTACTGAGCAGCTGC